GTGTGTGAAACTGTGTGCGGTTAATTAGATTGCGGGCAATAATATTGTATGTCGGCCAACCGAGCGACTCCGAATCAACTCGACTCGACTCGACGACTCCATGGCGAAGGACTGGCCAATGCGTGTTAACCGACATATGCATGCACATTGGCTCATACATGGCTAAAATCTACACACACACACACACACACACTCACACGCCTGGGCATATGTCTACACTTACACGTAATTAGCATTTCCTGTTTGGCTTGTCGGTTACGACACACACACACACACACACACACTCAAACAAATGGCCGACACACTCGCATAATTACGCGCTGCCTGGCAATGGCAGCCAAAAACCAAGCATGTGCGTGTAATTGTGCGCGTCTGTGTGTGTGTGTGTGTGTGTGTGTGTGTGTGTGTGTTTCTGGTTTGTAATATGCATGTGTGGCTACATAGCTGATCACAATTATGGCCAACAGCGTGTTATTGCTGCGCCCACTCTCCAGTAACCAGTTATTGTTGCTACTATATTTCTCATTCTGACCCGATTGGGCTCGCCTTTTTCTCTCTTGTTTTTTTCTTGCCATGCCAGCAAACTGTAAATGAATGTTTAAACAGCTGCCGAATTGCATGTTAAATGCATGATCTAATATACTTACTATATATAAGTACTATATGTACACACACATATGTGATAAATCGGTACATATTTACGAAGCACATTTGTGTGTTCACGCACAGATAAGGTATGGCATTGGAGTGCCCCAAAGTTGTGAATGCCTTTAGATCGCTACCCCTTTAATTTACAAGTATCTGTATGCAACAATTCATTTTATAATATAAAGTATATTGGATATAACCGGCAAGGGAGGCCGCTCCGATGTGCCCCTTCTACAAGTATTGTGTGGACGTGTTCAACCCTTCGAATCTGTAATCGATTTTGAATGCAAATTCCAAGATATCGTTTCGAATTAGACAAGATTTAGCAGGTAAATAGAAATAAATATAAACCTAAAGCACTTTCATATGTAAATGACATTCAATAGAAATACCGAAGGCTCAGAAAATTATTCATGTTTCGGCCATTATTGTGATAACACCGAATAGAGCCGTAACTAATAATCAAGGAATGGCAACAATTGCGAGCAAAATTCTTAGATAGACAGACCTATGTTGGTAGCTTCTTCTTGGTACAATTCTTAAAAAACGATACAGAATTGTTAAAGTAATTATTATAATATAATTGGATAAACAAATGGCTTTTTGCTTTTGAACATTTTCTTGCTTATATTTTAAAGCCGACCCCGACCCGTTCATATATCTCTTGAACAAGTGTAATTTGTTAACTTTTGGAGCTTCGTTCGAATATATTATTATACTTATACCGTAATTTATACAACAATGTAGGTCCGATTTGTGTTTTGAAATTTATAATTGAAAATGCATTAATCCTGTCATCAAGAATCAAAAATGTGGTTGGGAATTTTGGCAAATACTTTTCATCATCTGCATTTGCTGGAAAGACATGTGGTAATAATTTGTCATATTCTCCGATCTTCGAGTCCACCTCAGCATGATAAGTTTATTCATATTCATGGACATGAGTTCATGAATTCAGTAAGCAATTGCGATATCAGACTGATGTTTCCAATTCGAGCAGACAATATTTTGTTATGCTTTGGACAAAGAATGAAAAAACACTGACACACATACTATACATATTGTTATGAACGTAAACAGTTAACAAATTAGGCAACTTGGATAGTCCGAATACAATAATTCAATTATTTATTACTATGCTAGTTAAATAACATATCATTTGCTTCATTATGGGTTTTTAAATGGGAGAAAAAGCTAGACATCGCATTATCATCATAGCTTCATCATCTTTAGCTCGCCGTGATCAACTCATTATTAACAGTTCATTCCATTTTGTGCTCTTCATAGTCATCTTTAGCATCATCATCATCATCATTTCATTTTAGTTACGTTATAATTTCTCCTTATCATCTTTTGTTCCTCATTATCGTTATGCTATATTAGATTACCGTTAAGTGATCCATTTGTTTTCATTGTCTTTAGTTCATCTTCAACACACCATCAGAATCCGTCCATCAGCATAAGTCCATTGATTAAAGTGTACAAATTGTTAGCAAAATGTTGTAAGTATTTAGATTACTAATAGTTTCTTAAAATATATTCAAGGTATGGTTATGAATATATCTAAATACGTACATATAAATAAATGAATATCCCAGAGCTGCCTTTGTATATGGAGATGAAATACTAAAGACAGTGAAATGCTTAGAAATGATTTGTTAATGCACAAATAACTTAGTCGCAATTATCTGTTCCGACAGTCGACGATAGTTATCAGTGAATGGACAGTACGTTGCAGTTTTCTCTACCACTAGCCATCCATTTCTGCCATATGTATATCCATAGCTGTCATACTGTTCTCTCTTTAAGTTAATTGCACTTGAAGATTACTCTATTCATGACGTATCAGGAACTGTAGAAAGCTACCCCAGACTTGTATTAGTCTGCAACTTCAGTGCCTCAATACGGAAGACTGTTACAATCCGGTTACTCCGAGAAGAAGCGAAGGAGAAAGCTAATGGTTACATCATCAGTTCCCAGACTTCGCTAAGAATCAGTGATTAAAAGCCTTAGCGTCAAACCGGATTTGGTAGCTCCTCCAGTGTCCTCTTAGCCACTGGACAATGATCCAATGCATGTGAAAAGGCGATTTCGGTTAATACTTGTATACAGACAATTAAATGCCGGCACGTATTCGCACTTTTGTCTTCCTGCAGGGCGGCAGGAGTCCGCGCTTTTACGGTTTGCCATAATTTATGCGGCCAGCCTTAGTTCGCTCGTTGTGCAACGTCAAGTTGACCAACCGCGGATTAAATGTGGTTTTAGTTTTTAATGCCCAAAAGCTGAAAGCCACTGCCATGGCTAACAAAAAAAACAAAAGCAGGAAAAAAAACAGGTGCCCTCCACCTCCCCCTCTCGCACATGCCGTGAAAAATAATTGCACATTTTAATTTCGCAATCTTTTTAAGCCATGCGCTTAATTTTTGGATTTATTCATATGCATTTAAAATATAAATATGCACGTAACTATGTATGTATAAAATATATGCATTTGCATACATGCATACTATGTGTGTCTACTAGTATATGTACGAGTGTGTGTGTGCGAGAGCGGTTTTTATGTACAGTGCAACCTCTCTTGGCCGGACACTCCACACCGTCGACGGTCGACCAACTCTGGTCCGGCCAAGGGGAGTGGCCGGTGAAGAGGAAACGTAGACACGCAGACGATTAAAATATATTCACTTTATTATGAAAGTACTTACATATAACAATCAAAAATAAAAATGAAGATTGGTTATACATCTACACTGACAACATACAGTAATATTACGAACCTTATTCTAAGTTTTTCCCTTAAAAACTCATTTTTAAGTAAAGGCGCGCCAGTGAGAACAGATTTATTTATTTGTTTGTTTATTAATTCCTAGTACGACAAGAAGATTTCTTATAAATTAATGTACAGGTCACAAAGTATGCAATTTTCTTAGATAACATTAAAGTGATTTTTATAACCTACTAAACCTATTTTTTATAAGATTAATATTAATACATAAACTTAAGGTTTTTCCTTTCCGATTTCTTCTTTTGCTCTTATCGTTATCATTAAATTAGTACAAAAGTGATGGCTAATGCCTAATGTACATGTAAATGTATAGGTTTAGTGCCTTTTGATTTTTTCGTTAGTTATACTCTTGAAAGTGTGCTTCAACTCTAGTTCTAAAATGCTGATTATTTTTAAGTTATGTGGTAGCTCGTTCCACAGACGAACAGCAAAGATGAAAAGTGCTTTTCTGAACTGGATAACCTATATCTTTCGCAAACTATATCATTGGTTCTTCTTGATGAACTAAATGAGATTTTGTTATACAAAAAATTCGGTTCTTTACGATTAATGGTTCTATGCAGGAAAATTAGAGTCATAAGTTTTATCCATGAGTGAAGGGTCAGGTTAAAAATGTTGTTAGCGTATGTCGTTATAGATTCTCTTCCTTTAATGTCATAGACATATCGCGCAATGCTATTGAAGGCGACTTTTAATTTATTCTGGCTTGCGGCATGGCAGTTTCCGAATAATTCAACCCCATAAAATAATGAGGGTATCAGGTATGACTTTGCATAAGGAGCTTGAGTTGCCTGAGAGGAAATTCTGCGTCAAAGAGAGCTGCCTTAGTGCACTATAAGTTCTTCCTACTGCATTATTAACGTGATTATGCCAGGATAGTCTCATTGAGGGTTATCCCTAAATTATTTGCCTTCTTTACGTAATCGATATGCTCATTGCTGAGTTTCAATTTCTCTAGATTGAGTGGCTTAATTTTCTTTTTATATAATACCAGGCATTTCGATTTTTTCGGATTCAACTGTAGACCTTTAATGCAAAACTGAGAATTTAATTGTGAAATAATTAAATATCACTAAAAATCTTGTAGAACGAAATAACAGGAATATCAAAAATATGGATGATGAAACTTAATGAAGACTCCCACTACAGTTATTTTGCATGCATTTGAAACGTCCATTACGTGCATCCAAAACGTGCGCGTCCGGCCCAGAGAGGTTTTCTTTCAAATTTGTTGTGTCCAGCCAAGAGAGACCTTAGGTCGAATCTCACGAAAAGAGTGTCCGCACAAGAGAGTCGAACTTGCTCTAAAAAGTAGACCAAAGCGAATGTTCTAGAGAAATTGTCCGTCTAAGAGGTGTCCGTTAGGGCAGTTTTCACTGTATCGGCGGCAAAAGCTGCAACGCACTTTTAATTAGTTTGCATTTTTAGGTGCTGGTAGCTGCGCAAAAAATGTTTTAATTTTCATAATTCATTATTCATAAGACGGGTTGGCGTCTCTTGTTGTTGTTGTTGTTGTTTAACGGACGTTTCAATTGCTGCTTGCGTCGATTGAATGCTAAGCATTAAATCACTCTTCCATCGGTTCATCGGAGGCGACACCACCGCTTTGAACGCCTTCACCGCCGTCGCCGTCGCCACCTCCACCACCACCACCACCACCACCACTGGCAACAGCTGAGGTAGAGGTAGCGGCAACAGATCCTCCAGCAGGTGTGGCTGCCTTTCTGCCCAGCCTATCCATTTTCTTCACCAGCCCATCCATCAAAGCCTCCATCGTATTCTCCTCAGGAATGGCGGGCAGACGTTTGCGCAACTCCTGCCCCGAGTCCTTGCGAGTCTTAAAAATAAAATTGCTGGGAGGCCGGTGTTGACGCGGATACACGGCCATGCGCCAGTATTTGGGCGGATCTGTGCGATATTAATATCAGCCGATACGCCTAGAGCCTAGATGCCTAATGTGTTACTTACTTTTCGATCGCAATCGCGAAATACCGAAAGGTTCCGGATGATTCATGGTTGGGTTGTAAAAATTTGTCGAAATGAAGAAAACTGTAAAAATTTCCCTCACGTCTAGAGAAAAACTATATCCAGTGCTGGTTAACGTTGTCAATAATTAGGGCAGTTATGTGTAGCTTGCTTGGGTTACAGTCACGTTTCTCATTTGTCTAACAGTCGCTACAGTTCCGTTTTTAGGGACTATTATTTAGAAGGTTACCTTCCTAAATGAAAGCATGCAATAAATGTGATCTAATGGAAATGCCGCCAAATAACGCATCTCCATTTAGAAGAAAAGATGACAATAAAGAAATTTAAGACTCATATATAAAAGGTCCAGTTAGACCAGCAACTGTGAACCCAGAGAATCTATGGCAGGAAAGCCCAAGGTCTTCAGTAGTTATAGTACCTGGCTATTCATTGATTCTTATTGGAGAAAGAGCTCCCAACTGCCAGGACCTACACTATTATTTTTTTAGCGTTACCATCAGCATACAATTTTCATTGAATATGTTTTATTCGGATTCCTCATCGTCCGTTCTGTGTGTTTAGTAACAAATCTTTATTTAGAAATGCTGCACTAGATAATATTTCGATTGCCCTTCACGTGTCTCGCTTTCAATTAGCGAAATGTTTTGTTCCAATTCGAGCATTTCAAGCGAAGCAGGCGTTGCTTTTTGGGAAGCTCTGTCCAAAACTGTTAACTAGCACTACAGAGCCTGTGGCAGCTTGTCACTAACCAGAAAAATTTCAGTCGACAAGTAACGACGAAAATTATAATTCGGGAGCGACACCAAAACCAGGCTAAAGACGAGAAGAAAATGTCCAAGCGCGGCAGACGTAATACAAAATCGGTTGCAGTTAATGCAGTAAATGTTTCTAAAATATCCGTTTTCCCAACAGCACGCAATCGCTTGGTACCCCTACCCGAATCCGATCCCGAACCAGTGGGCCTTGAATGCATTTGCCAGCGCCAGTACAGATCGTACCAATGCACAAAATGTGGAAAACATTTCCATGGACGTCTTGCCGAGATATGCAAGAGCCATTCATCCGTGTCCTACCTAATGGACTTCCGCTGCTGTCCGTACTGCGCGGCAGACACCGTGTTTATAACACAGTCCGATCTCAGCAAGGAAGCAATTCTCAAACGTAATGCTATCAATTAATTGATGACCCAGTTCCGAAACCAATAATCGACAAATAAACAGCGTATTTTCAATGCAATGGCATTAAGTGGCAATTATAACTATTTGAATTGGGATTGTTGATATTCTCTCCTAAGAGAATTCTTAGCTAAGCTACTTGTATTTTACGGGGCCTGCATGGCAATCGATATGTAATGACAAATAAGGTTCACCTATATTTTGGAGAGTCGACGTTTTGCCAGCGTTTTGTTGATTAGCCTTTCGTGGACGCTCAAAGCATGTCAAGGAGTGAGAGCAACTGTCTTATTTGCAGAGACCAGTTTTTTGGCCAATGGCTATGTGAAAGAATCTGCGATCCGAGGGGCTGCCTACCCTTCTATTAATCAGGAGCGTGCGCGACAGCTTTCTACGGCCAGAACAGTGAGGCAGTTGGTCGGGCAGGAACGGCGAAGCTTATTGGGCTCTTCAGCTCGCTCGATATGGCATTCAAAGCGGTGCCAGTTCAATAGGAATGTGCCACTTAATTGGCACGGACTGGTGCATTATACAAGTAATCAGAGCCGAATTTGGATTTGAGCTCGAGTCCACTGGAAACTGAATAAGCTACATACTTTTCTTCCCCCACTCATTCACGCTCGGATAAGCCCCAACCCTTTTACACTTGAACGGATGCAACAACTTGGCGTCGGTGTCTGCTTACAGCTCGGCCGACTTGGCAGGACGTGAGAGGCAAAACTTCCAAGAATGTAAACAACAAAGCATTTATTTTCGAGCATAAATGAATCCACTTACGCAGGAACACGCCGGCCAGCCAGGACACACGGGACGCACAGGACACAAAACAACAGTTGGCATACCTTGAGCCACTGCCGCTGCACACGAACTTCTTGCGCCAGGAAGTGGCGGAAGGAATGGAGCTAACGAAAACTGCCATGGCGAGGCATTGTCGAAAGGGGTTTGGCAGGACGGCAGAGGCACTGGCACGGGCAGGGGCAGGGTGTGGTTTTTTTTTGGGGGGGAGTGCTCTAGAGCAGCACATGACGGCGACGGCGCGACTGCCAAAGAAATTTGTATAAACGCAACTTAAGTGAGCATTAAAGACGCTTCACTACGCTTTGGCGCAGCCTGTAGATGCCCGAGAAGCTGGCGACGAGGGCCCGGCATCGGTGCGTTGTCCTTGGAGTCCTTGTTGTGCTTGACACTGGCGCTTAAGTTGGTTAATAAACATTACCAACGCCACAAAAACCATTTACGCTAACTATTAAAATTCCTCAGCATTTAAGTTGCCTTGTTTCACGATTATGTTCAGTTACGAGTACCCGTACAAGTATATGGAGCACTCGCACGCACATCATGTGGAGGTTACTGGAGACAGGATACTGGAGTCTGAAGTCTGGCATCTGGCGTCTGCGACTGGGACTGCCTTAGACTTACTCCTTTGCGTGTGCGTTTGCGTGTGCGTGCCAGTCATTAAGCGAAATCTTATTGGCCATTCATGGGTAAAGAGTTTAGGACTGGCTCTGGCGTTTTCATTAATTCTTATACTACTCTTCATTACACACATGCTTACTCCTTTGTTTGCATACAGACTCGAAGGACATAAACGGCGAAATGTCTAATAAGGATGCCTGACTCAGAAAAGGTGGTCCAATGTAGAATAAGCTGCTCACCATCTGTGGCCCCTGCTGAACGCTTGTATTGATTAATCACTCTAAAGCGATATCATCGCCAGTAGTACGCGCTATACTATATATCAAGCATTCGAAATGAATTGAAATTGGAGCTGGAGCTGGAGAGGTCGAGCTCAAAAAGGCATGTTTATTTGTCGGTTATTGGTTTCGGAACTGGGTTATCAATTAATTGATAGCATTACGTTTGAGAATTGCTTCCTTGCTGAGATCGGACTGTGTTATAAACACGGTGTCTGCCGCGCAGTACGGACAGCAGCGGAAGTCCATTAGGTAGGACACGGATGAATGGCTCTTGCATATCTCGGCAAGACGTCCATGGAAATGTTTTCCACATTTTGTGCATTGGTACGATCTGTACTGGCGCTGGCAAATGCATTCAAGGCCCACTGGTTCGGGATCGGATTCGGGTAGGGTTACCAAGCGATTGCGTGCTGTTGGAAAAACGGATATTTTAGAAACATTTACTGCATTAACTGCAACCGATTTTGTATTACGTCTGCCGCGCTTGGACATTTTCTTTTCGTCTTTAGCCAGATTTTGCCAAAATATGTCTCTCCCGAAGTTCAATTCTCGACTGAAGTTTGTCGACAACTAAAATGTTTGATTAGTGAGGCAGTACAGCGCTTTGGCAGTGTTATAAACTATCAGAACCTATCACAGAAAAGGGGAGCCTTTTTTCGGTAAATCTTTAGATAGGCTTTGGGAATTGAACTTCTTATGGTACGAGTAGTATTGGACTTATTATTATTCGAATGGGATATCTTCTAACTCGCCTCATTAATCTGTATATCTTCATTGCAACTATATGTAAGTTCTTTATAATAATGTGCATGGAGTACATCCTATATATTAAAATTTCTGAATAGCTGATTGAATGTCGCCCAGTTGCCATTAGGCGCCCAATGGCAATCACATTGTGTACTCTACTCTATTATATTATCCGTATTACGTAATAGATAGATATGAAAAAGTACTAGTAAGATACCTTAAGAATTTGTTTAGTATTTTGTTTTGATGAAGTTTAGTACGAGCATTTTACAACACTAGTTAAAAAGCTACTGTACATTTGGCACAAATAAAGCAACTTGTAAAGCAATTTCTATCGTAATTATGACTGTCTAAGAGTTTACAGCCAATGTATAATGTCTTCAATAATCAATAATGATAACCAATAATGGTTTTAATTGTACGCATAGCTCAGTGTAAATGGCAGGAACAGCAATACGTGCCCGGCAAAAAGTATTCGAGTGACCTACATATGTATGTATGTATGTATGTATTTGTGATCCGCGGATCTGATCTGTTCTTATAGGCGCGTGCAGAAGGCAATATTGAAATTAAATTGACACTTTTAATTATTAAACAAGAAAGGAATGCTATAGTCGAGCAGGCTCAAGTCTTAAATACCCTGTACCTCCCACCAAAAAGGAAAAAATGAAAAAAAATTGTTTAGTTTTAAAAAATTATATCACTTAAATGAAATACAAATTATTCAATACGATAGTGGAGGCATGTTCATGTACAGTTTCAACAGCATACATTTACATCAGAATCGTGTCTCTGCGTGTCTATATGCGTGTATGTATGCAGCACAAAGGTGAACCAAAGCAGCAACAACAACAACAGCTGCGGGCAGAGCTACGGGCAGAGCATGGGCAGCGATTTTATCAGAATAAAAAAGTAAACTTGACCTGCCTAGGGCTCAGGGGAACCTGGATGCCAAGTTTGGTAATTCTAGCTCTTGTACCTTCTGAGATCCTTGCGCTCATACAGACGGACAGGCGGACGGACAGACGGACATGGCTTAATCGACTTGTCTTGTCATCCAGATCAATAATATATGTATGTACTTGTATATACTTTGTGGGGTCTGCCACGCCTTCTTCTGTGTGTTACATACATTCGCACAAAACTAATGTAGCCTCTTACCCTTTGGGTAAATTATTTATGAAATAATAAATAAGCCAGTTGCAGTTGCGGCTTGATATAAAATGGATTATTAAATATTTGAGTCAATTATTGAATCGCTTTTTGCTGTGCAGATAAGTTGAGTGTAGACTAGAAAGGAATGCTACCCGTTTTGGGTGTAGGGTACAAAAACTTACGTGTATCCGAGATGCCATGAAAATGAAAACACACAATTGCTTACAATATTGTTTTAATTTTATTTTTCAATCACTTGCTTTCATATCAATTGTTATTAGCTACGCAAAAAAAAGTGTTGTTGTTTTCAATATCATTATCGTCTAACATTAATACATAGGGTATACATATATACTATGTGTAGATATATGCGTATGTAGCTCTATGTGTCTAGTACATAATTTAAGTGTGTGTTTGTGTGTTTATGTGTGTGTGTGTATGTGTGTGTGTGTGTGTGTGTGCACATTCATGCACTACCCATATACAAATCAACGCTTATGCAAAATGTACAAAACCCATTTGCTTCAACAATTCGACGACTACACTGCTAGGTGAACAAAAACTGAATACCATCTTGGATAATGATACGTATAAGTAGGATTGTAGGAAAGAAGCTGCAACTTACGAATACATAATAGGACAGCTGTAATGTCTATGTACATTAAATATATAGTATATATACTAACAAGTGGGCACAGGGGCCCTCTGAGCGCCCCCCGCCAATCAAGATAATACGAGTAAGTAGCGCAAATCAAAGGCATGTGTTTTTCTGTTCTGTTCTGTTCTATTCCGTTCGCTTAAAACGTATAGGATAGATAAAAAAAAAACAAAAAATATACAAAAAAAGAAAAAAAAATTAACTTAGGAGAAAACTAATTTTAGATATAATTGAGCAGCTTGCTTTACAGAGCTAGTTAGATACAATTGCTTGAGTATACAAATACTTATGTATAGCCTAGTATGCCTTTCCTATTCGTGGCTAGAATGTTCCACTACTGCCACTTGCTTTCAAATTCTTGTGTCATTTGTATTTATATTTATTTATTTTCAACAATTTCTCTATTTACAATTTATTATTAGTTGGCTTCGTTTACATCGAGTTCCGATTTGCCTCTGCGTCTCTTTTACGATTGAACGGTTGCTTAGCATTTAATGATATTTGTTTCGTTTCTTTTCGTTTTCTTTTTTTTTTTAGGCAAATTTTGTTCGTTAACTAATTCATATAAATGTTAGTTATTAAGTTAATTTATTATAATGCTTTTTACAAAGAAGTTCTCACTTGTTTGCTTGTTTGTTTGTTTGTTTGTTTGTTGGTATTGTTAGCAACATTTTTTCAGTATAAATTTGAATGATCATTAGCTTGTTGGGGAATTTGTTCAAATTCGTTTTTAAAATGTACTTCACGAGCATTGCATGTGTTCTGCAATCGCAATCGCAATTGCAATTAGTTATTAATAAACATCATCAGTCTTGAACTTAGTTTAGGGTTTCTTTTTTGTTTTTTTCCTTTCAGTTTTAACTTGCTTGTGACATATTTTGTGTGTGTATGTGTGTCTGGGTGTTTAGCCATAGATATACCTACACACATACTCGCATAGTATACTATACTTTATATATATATCATTGAGACAGTTTTTGTCAGACGCGCTATAGTCATATAGCTAATGGCTTAAGATTCTAAATATGTACTCGTATATAACCTATGCACATACTCGTATGTTTATATATACTTGTATGTATATATTTCAGATAGTTTCCGCTCTCCATTCATCATCCATCGTTAGCTGACTCCGAAGTGCTTGATCGAGATGATGGGGACAGCCGGGACAATTGGGGGTTCGACGCTCTAAAACCCTACCACTTACAACTACAATTTAAGTTGAAGGCACAATTTTAATAGTGTGTTTGCTTCTCCTATGCTATGTAAATACATATGCCCACAACTAAGTACATATGTGTGTGTGTGTGTGTGTGGTTGTGTGGTTGTGTGTGTGCTTGTAGTTATATACTAGGCTCATCTATATAACTATGCATATATAGATTTATATGTATCGTGCATATTTTCGATGCGTACAAAAATAAAAATAAAACATTTGATAATGTACTCGTACTCGTAAGTGAGTTGTAAAAAAAGGTTGGTTATATGCGAAAGAGACTGAACGAATCGAAATACCCTTCCTAGTATAATACAGAATAATAATGGAGCTCGAATATGAAGCTTAGCTACAAATGGGACGGGCCGGGCCGGGCCGGGCTGGGCTGGGCTGGGACGCGACGGGACGGGTGTATTCGGTTGTGAAGTGGATCTGGAGAGGTCTGCCACTAAACGAAAAACTCCTCATTGCCCGAGGCAGCGCTCAGTCCGCCGCCCGTGTCCACATACTGTGCATCGAGGCTGCTGCTACTGCTGCTAATGCTGCTCCCTTGCAGCCAGGGCCACCAGCCCAGGAGTGGAAATCACCGTTCCGTCGAGTGGGTCGTAGCGCCACTGCCGCCGAGGCCGCTGCTGCTGCCACCGAAGCCGGCCGAGCCGGTGCGTCGAAAGAAGCCCAACGTGTCCAGCGTTTTGATTGTACGGCGAATTAGCTCGTCCTTGTATTTCCAAATGGTCTTGTCCTCCACCGAGTTCTCGCGATACTCCTCGCAGCTCTTCTTCAGCGTCTTCACGCAGTCGGCGCGATAGTGCTGGAGCTGGGCGTCGGGCGTGTCCACCGGATAGGATTTGCAGACTCCGCCCAGACAGGAGAGCGGAAAATGATTGTGCAGCGTGAGGACGCGTTCCGGATCGTGAAAGCACTTCACATACTGATTGGGCTTCGTGTAGTTCTTGGCTCGATGCACATGCTGCAGCATATGCATGTATTTGGGGATGTCCTTGTGCCAGCCGTGCTCGTGCTGCTGATCGTCCAGGAAGTAGACATTCCGGAAATTGTAGCTGTGGAAACCGTCCGGCTTTATCTTGAGCGACTCCGGCCGCACCTTGTCCATCAGCTCGGACCAGAGCACCGTGTTGCCTTTGGGCATGATTACCTCGTCGATGTCGAGCAGGGCGATGTAATTGTACAGATAAAGATTCTTGTAGAGGCAGTCATTGTAGGGTATCACCTCGTTCTGACGCTTGTGGTTCGTCTTCTTGGTTAGGTAGAGATGCTGGAAGCCGGGCACATTCGGCTGCCCTCCCGGCAGCGTCAACGGTATGACCTGCACCTTGCCCTCCTGCTCGTAGTGATTGAGCACCTTGGTGATGTTGGGGTGCACCTGCAGGTTGTAGAAATAGATTTTGTCCGCCCCCAGTATGTTCAACATTTCGATCCATTCAATTAGACGCACACTCAGGTCGTCGTAGAGGAAGTCCAGACCCTTGACACAGACGGCGAAGCCCTTCTTCTGGTCATCGGGCGGTCTATTGTAGATCACCCGCAAATTATTTGTGGCTGTGTCGCACTCCTTCTCCACCATGGACACGGAGCTGGGCACCACGCCATGGAAGGGTTTCGGTATCTGGCAGGCTATTAGGTACGGCTGGTAGATGCCCTGCTTGTAGTTGCCCCATTTGTTGTACCAGATGTACTTGTACTCGAACGTTTTCACAATGAACGGCTCCTTCTGGCCATCGAACCAGAACTGACAGTAGGTCTTCACTTTGGGCTCGATGCGATCGATCATGCCCAGGATGCGCACCGTAGGACCCAGCAGCGAGGTGCGTCTGATGTCGTAGTAGGCACCGAATAGCTGGAATGTGCCGTTCGTGGTGCGCAACGTCTGCCAATAGATGTTGTTGAACTCCAGCTCGAATATCGACGGATATTTGGCGCAAGTCGATGACTTCTGTTGCAGAAAGTTCTTGTTCTTGCTCCAGTAGGCGATGGGCAGCGAAGGAATGCGCGATTCGACGTCCCGCACCAACTGATCGTCGTCCATGGCTGGAATTAAAATAAGAGTGTGGTGTATGGTTATTGCTTCTAATAGGATCTGTGCTCATTGGCTACACCACAAGGAGTTGGTTTCCTGTACAGTCATGGAAAGTGTGCCTCGTTCGGTGTCTCCTTTTAGCCCGTCCACGAGAGGTAACTAAGTTCGGTCATAAAATTCTGCTCTGTCCCACAGTATGAACCCTCCCATCTCGGAGACAGGACTAACTAGAAACACAAAAACTTGCAAGAATGTCCCGCTAATAATTATGAAGAACAGGAAACTGAGCTCGGACATAAAATTCTGCTCACTGTCCCACAGAATGTACCCTTCGATCTCGGAGGCAGGACTAACTAGTGACACAAAAACATTCAAGAATGTCCCCCTCATAATTATGCTTTTGAAGTACGTTTTGAATCTATCATATGTTCGTCTTTCTCAATCTTCACTGAATAATCGATTAACAGTTATATACATGTACATTTATCCTAATTTCATTTCAAGCTAATACCTTAAAGGAACCGAATCAATTGCCTCTTTTAGTCAGAAAAATGATAAGTGTGGAGCTCTTGAACCCTTACCTGTGCGATTGTCCACAAGTATTTCGGATGGATCGAAGTGATCTGTGGTAGTTGATGTGGTTTCCGCATAGCGCAGTATGTCCTTCTGCAACAATATGCGTCCATTTAGGGGCACTTGTTGATATTCCTGGGGCACCAGGTTGGTGCCGTGCATCTTAAACAAGCCAATTATCACAAAAGACCACACACATAATGAGAATAGAATCTTCAGAATGACTTTTGAGTGCGCCATTTTGTGTGTCTGCAAGTTTCCAAGTTGCTTACTAAACTGAAAGAAGATAGGATAAAAATAAGAAGAGGTTAGTTGACGTTCTAGGGAAAAATCCATTCATGCTTTTAGTGGCGCATTGAAAATTTAAAGCTATGAAAAAATGGGCTTGCTTTATTGATGGCCAACGGACACAGCTCTCCATGCTTGGCCCTAATAAAATCAAGTCATTCATTTTTAATATGGCGGCCAGCCGCGCGTCCATTTCCGTTTCCTGCAAAATGTTCAACTTGAAAATTGCGTGTAATATTTCTCACAGCCCACAGACAGGCCCAGGCATACGGGCTGGCATGCAACCACCATGCAGGACGGGCAAACTGATGGGAAACCAACAACGCGCCTGTCTAATGGAAAGCAATCTAAAAATGCGCACAGACATTGAACATTTTGAGGACAGAGTGCCGACCGAGACTGTCTCACAATGGGACAGAAAGGACCCTCCTACTTCCTACTTCCGATTGATTATAGTTTTTCCTTTCATCGCTGTATTTATGGCAGTCCTCTCAACAATGTTAATGGGCAGCATTTATGCGATTATTATTTCTGTTATCGCCGACTGAATTGTACTTAAGTCGCACGCAACTGAGGACACACCATGCACAAAGCATGATGTATAAGGTGTTTGCTAAGCATCTAAGATGAGTTCACAATTAAATAAGTTCTAGGGCTTCACATTTGTTATTATACCCTATACCCAAAGGGCAAAAGGGTATACTAGTTACAGCTTGCAGTTAGTGATCAACGATCAACGAAATCGATCGGGTTTGTTGACACAACATTTGGTGACCCCGTGCTACGCATTGAAAAGACAAGTTATACGGAACTGTACAAATAGTTGGATCATTTATTTTCATCACACTAGTTTTAAAAAGGGGAATACTTGAATCCAGATAGTTAATAGACAGAGATACATTGTTGTATCAGTTAAGTACACTGCCTATAAAAGACAATAAAGTGCACTTGCAGCCCATTGTATGTGGTGCACATTTCACTTGCTAGCTCTGGGGTTGGGCACTGGTCATTTTTATTTCTACCACTACTCTGGGGACCTCCTTCTACTCGTATCTTTGCTCACTGCTTCTGGTCCTGCTTCTGCTTCTGCTTCGGCTTCTGAATCTGCATCTGGTGCTTCTGTTGGCCTCCTGTCCCCCCACCCACCAACACCACTTTTTGTTCTTGTGCCTGTCTACGCTTTGACACGACACTTCAGGCGACAATCTGTTTGTCTATCTGCGCTTTGTATCTTGGCAACGTGCGCCTTGTGCGTGCGGGCGGCGTCATGTCTGGCGGCGGCCTCTAATATTTATGACATTGCAAACTGCACCTGCACCTCAGCCTCCTGCCAGCCCCATTCACCCACTTCAACCCCACATGAACCACCACCCACTTGGTCGCTTGCTGGCCAGGCACGCATCAGGCTGACCTGCTCTGGGCGATTCCCTGACTGCAACAAAAGGCAATGCCATTCGCCATTCGCCACTCCACGCTTTTCAGTTCGCACTATATGTATGGGGCATACTTGTATGTACGAGTATATGCTTGGACATGAATATATGCACATATAGCATGTCTGTGCGTGAACGAGTATAGCTCTATTTTGTCTACAAATTGCTCAATGCACGTCGAGATGCGCAGCAAGTGGCAACAACGTTGACCATTGGAATTTGTCATTTGCTTGAAATGCACGGCGGAGAGTCGCAGAGGGGCCAGATGTTGGGGTAGAGGGGGGAGTTGCTGTGCAGCCAGACACTTTAAAGTGCGTTCGACCAGTTTCAATTGTCAGGCGGCAGACAGACAGACAGAGAGACTGACATACAGACAGACAGACAGACAGACAGACAGGCTCTTTCCATTGCTCGGCATCGAGCAAATTGCATGTCCAGTTCATTTTCTTTGCAATCGCTCGCCAGACACTCAACGCCATGATGAAGATTGTGATAATATAGCCCGAGGCATATTAAAATTACGGATACTCTGCAGCATTTCCTTTGCGTATATCAGAATTGGAATTATTCCCATCATCTGATAGTGACTGTGATGCTTCGCTTCGTTGCAGAGTTTTTAAAGTGGTTTGTGTTTAGACTTTATTTCAAATCGCTATGCACTCAAGCGTTTAAGGAAAAGTCCATGTACACGTATCTGTCGACTTGAAGTTCGACTTAAAAGGCACTTGGAACGATTGCAACATTTTTTTTTTCCTTAATAGAAAATTGAAATTCAAATGAATGATCTGTGCATAGCAGTCGATATCAGTTTTTAAAGAAATATTTGCACACATTTTTGTTGAATTCATTTCGCACCAAAGTATAGCTTGTATTATTTAGAATGTTTCGACAAATATTGTTTAAGAGCTGGCGACTAATCAGGATTAATACATCAATTTAAAAGTGAGCTGAAAGTTATTGTATATCAGTGAAAAATGAAGTCAAATCTATTTGTAGTTCGTGTAAAAATTGATTGTCAGCCGGCCAGCAATGGATTTAGTTAAGTCTATCTGATCTGACAAGTTTAACTTTATTGCGAGCTGTCAGAACCTATCATATATGTTCAGCATTGCCACAAACTTTGCGGGCAAGTCCTGGCGATTCGGTTTGTGTAGCGCATTTGGCAAGTTTGTGTCCAAAGTCCTGCAAAGCCCTTTTACTAAACGCTTTGTTAGTCGTGCGCAACAAAAGGCAACTAAGCTCTCTCATACTCGTACATGCACAAAGCTCCAGACAGTTCTTACACCTGAGACATTATAACGTACAAGTCCGAGTACGAGTCCGAGTCCGAATTTGTCCGTCCGTCCGTCCATCTGTCCGTCTGTCTGTTTGTTCGTTCGTTCGGTCGTTTGGCTTTTCCGTACTACTACTGTCTGGCTGGCTGGCTGGCTGGACAATGTAGCTGAAATGGTTGTGTGGGTTTTTATGCGCATTTTTCTTGAGGCTTGGGTGGGATGTCGGACAGCAATGGCACCAGAAGCGGACGAAGGAGGAGCAGGAGGTGGACCAGCAAGGAGCAGGGGCAGGAGCAGGAGCAGCAGCTGCTCAAGTGCTGTATGTAATTGGCTGTATAAGTTGCTCGTCCCCCCGCACCTCCATCCCCATCTTGGTCCCATTTGAATGCAATTTTTACATAATCAGAAACTTTGTGTAACACATTTGCGCAGACAGAAATCAGGCAATGCCTGGCCAGAGTTGCCACCCACAGCTACACAGCTACACACCTACACACACACACACACGCACACATAGAAAGAGTTTATGTGTTTATGCTCAAGTGTTTTCATTTCATTTGCATTTTGCGCCGCCAAAAGTTTTCTACAAAATATTTTGCAACAAGCTTTCAACAATTTTCAAGCAACTGCCGCAAGTTCAGTGCAATGCTCGTGAAATATTTATGCCACAAACCTGGGTGAGTAATCACAATGACGAGGGCATACTGAGAGGTAGGGCCAGAGCCAGAGCCACGGCCAGGGGCAGGGGCAGGGGCAGGTGCAGGGCGATGGTAAACTTTAACCATGCATTGTTTGTCTGTTCTCTTAGCTTTGTACCAGTGTGCCAAGCATAAATCTCTTATGATTTGCACTCAACTCAACAGTTTTTATGATTATAATCAAAAATGTTTACTATATAAACATACATACACACATACCGATATACATATATATATATGCTCGTTCGTACTCGTGTATTCTGTAAGGCACAAACTCCTGTCTCTTATAGTCTTACGCACACATGTACATACATATTCTATGCATGTATGTGTACTTGTACGTAGAGTATGGTAGTATATAGTCCTTTGGGAAGCTGTTTGCTTTACTGCTCGCTTCATGATAAGTACTTGGGGCTCATGTCGCATACATAATATCGCCCATCAGATCTCTAAAGCCCCACCTTCTCAACGTTCGTCTCACTATTTAATCGCTTGTACAAAATAACAAAAACAACAATACTTGTATAGTATTCGGCGGAGCCAGTCAGAATCGCAGATGTGGGAGACCATTTGTTCAACGGATGGCATTAGCTTTCATTTAAAGGAACATCTAAGTTAAATAATAAATGAGGAGTCTATGGGAAATTGAAATTCGATTGACATAAACCCAAATCTGATAGACTGTAGCAGAGAATTGACGGTAAGAAATGTTCGATTTTGCAAAATTATCAGAAGGATTGCTATTTTTTCTTTTAAATATCGATATCATTGAACTTAATTCGTAGATAGCTTTGTAGTACAGCTCCCGAACAGAGTGCTTGAAATAAAGCTTCTATAGTCTGTAGCAAAGGACAGCCTAAGAACTAATGCATTATAATTATTCATTGTTAATTAACATACATAGGTATATCAATATTTATAAAAATAAAGCTCACTCAATTTATATAATCGCATCTATGTAGTATATAAGTTGTAAGCTATATGTATAATGGAATCGTGACTAGAACGAACATTTATGAAAATAAAGCTCTAGAATTATTTATGGTATAACAAATTTCTTCTTTCTTGTGAGTTCTATCGCTAATACATTTTAGATCTGTGCACCCTTTCTACAATTTAACAATAAAACGTAGTGCTGCGCCTAGTATAAATAGAATTGGGAAATTCGTACAATTTTGGAGACGTCTGCTGGAAATGGCTGGGAAGGTATACGAGAATATACAAGTATGTGTATAAGTCGGCCTTTGGCAGATCTTGGGAGTGGAAAGCGCGCTGAAGCCGAAATGGGACAGATTAGTTCACAGAAAGGGGGGGACAGCATAGGCATGCCTGATGTACTTCTAAGCCATTAACTTGCCAGAAAATCAACAACAACAGCAACAAGATCTGTGACCCCAATGGAATGATGTCGCCATCTATTTGCATGTCTATGGAGCTACATGCTTGGCTGGGACTTTCACGTATGCATGCGAGCTTGGCTTGGGCGTGCTTTAAGACACTTTGGATTCAGTTCTAAGCCGCATGCTCGGATCCGATCAGAGCGGCTCGGCAATTTGGGTCAATTGGCCATTAAAAATACGCGT